TATATCTGTGACATCAGAACCTCATCAGAGACATTTGATACAAAGATTTTGCCCTCGATTTCTTCCATTCTTTTTCTAATTGTACTAATTCATTCAAAAGCTTTTCAGTTTCATTAGATCCATTTTATCTTTTGTATTCATGTACACTTAATTGACTTGATTAACATGTGACTTGCACTGGGTCACTTTATAAGTAAATAATAACTTGAAGCTGCATTATATTTTTCTGAAGTAATTTTTTATGAATAAAAGTTAATAGATCTAGATGCATTATTGGGGAAAATCATGTAACCAGGTATCATTTAGCTAATCAGCTAACTAAAACTTTATAATTTTGCGTGTAACTAAGAGTCAGAGTAGATGGGGGTAGACTTAACTTTGATGGTAAAAGAAAAGCCACAGGGCTTGTTACTCGTAAGATGGAATGTTGAAAAAGACCTGAATCCAGTATTGGACATTTATAAATGCCTCAATTTTCTCATATTTAAAATCTGGGAGTTAGATTTAATTTCAGTTTCATTTCTGTGCTCCTACTTTGAGGTTTTGCTACAAATAAGGTCACCAAATTTATACCCTAGTGTCTGAATGGTATAGAAAGTGTTGGTGAAGGACAAGACTTGATCTACCCTTCACGGCCTATCTGCTATATAAGCCTAGTGCATCTGCTGCAATTTATATCATGCTTTGACTTTCCTCTTGGGTTTAATTATGTAGATTTTCTGATAAAGGGAGGAGGAACTTCTTTGTACAGGAAGAAAACCTAGGTGTTGTTGAGGCCAGGATCACAAATTTTATTCCTTGTCCAGACTAGTTAGCTGCATAGACATAGAGCTCCCGCTCTACTGTCATAGACTGCCCCGATCCAATCATCTCATAGCTGTATCCTATGGGTGCTGAGTCAAAAGATACCTCTGGTGCCCTGTACTCGGTCAGAGTATATAGTAAAGTTATTCAAAGCTGCTGTTTTAATGGTTGTTTATTAGCAGCATTGAATGAGCTTACAAAGAAGGAAATTAAATTAGATCGAGCTCCTTGAGACCATAAACTGTTTTTTGTCTTTCTTTGTGTGCCCAGTACATAGCCCAGTACCTGGCACATGGTAGGCACTTAATAAATGCTTGTTGAATTGATTTCTTGTTAATAATAGCTGACATTTACTTTGTACTTAAGTTATAAAATTTTTACGTACATTTATCTCATGATCTTCACAAGTCTAAGAGATGGGTAGTATGGGTTTTGTTATCCCTGTCTTACAAATGATAAAATTGGGGCCCAGTTGCCTCAATGAAATGACTGTCCCATGGTGACATGACTAGTAAATGCCAGAGTTAGAATTCAAACCCAGGTCTTCTGGACTCTTAACTCTAGCACTCTATCCACTAATCCCACTTGCCTCTCTTTTTTCAAAGGTTTGATATTGGAGATGCTAACATGATGGTCAAATGGGACCAAGAAATGTTGTTAGGCTCGTATTGTCAGAGTGACAAAGTCCAAAAAATAGTAGAGGGAATTTGAACTGCTGCATCCATCAGAGCACTGACATTAAATATATCTTGTCTCTTTTTGGTTGCTATACAGTCCCTCTTTCCTTCGCCCTCATACTCACATAGTTTCTCTTTTGCTGTTTACTCTCCTGTCTCAGCTTCTTCTGGTAAATCATACCCTGCTTCTTAATTCAAAATGAAATGAATAGAAGAAGAACAGAGGAGCAAAGGCTTTATTTAAATAACTGGGCATTAAGCCTCTGAGGTGTTTTGGAATAGAAGTTCCTTAAAGCCATGTATTCTGTGTTTTTATTTTATTTTGGGGGTTTTATATACAACACGTAATACTTAATGTAAATAATAACAGCTAAGAATCTCTGATAATAATCTGGGATTGAGAAGAGGAATTGAATACTGTTATAAAAAGATTTAATGCAGAATACCTTTTAAATAACAAACATTTCTGCTGTATTTAAAATGTTCATTTTACATAGCTTTTACTTGTATGGAGTACAAGAATAGCTCTCTGAACCAAAGCAAAGTATATTTTTACCTGTCAGGTTATAAGTTGTCTAGTCCAACCCCTCATTTTTGAGATGAGGAAACTAAGGGCAAGGTAGGTGAAGTAAGTCGCCCAGGACCATACAGCTAGTTAAATTACTAAGGCACGATTTGAGCCCAACTTATCCATACTTCAAGTCTGGTATTCTTTCTATCACAGAGAAAAAAAAATAGTATAGAAAAGTTCAGAATATATCAGTTCACTCATTACTGAGCTAGGACTTTGTGGTCATTCCAAATAAATAGGTAGTGGCAGCAGCACCAGTAACTTTAGGAAATAACATTGGATAGAAATTACAGTCAGAGAACAGCCACCTTTGTATTAAACAATAGCTCTGAGACTTTTTATTGTTGTTGTTTTTTTAAATGGGGCAGTGGGGTTAAGTGACTTGCCCAGGGCCACACAGCTAGTGAGTGTTATGTGTCTGAGGTTGAATTTGAACTCAGGTCCTCCTGACTCCAAGTCTGGAGCTCTATCCACTGTGCCACCTAGCTGCCCTCCTCCTTTTTTTAAAAGGCAGTTGGGGTTAAGTGACTTACCCAGGGTCACAGAGCTAGTAAGTGTCAAGTGTTTGGTAGGAGGCCGGATTTGAACTCAGGTTTTCCTGACTTCAGGGCTGGTGCTCTATCCACTGCGCCACCTACCTGCTCTCTGAGACTTTTTAGAAGGAACTGAGTGTCCTGTTTTGTCAGAGTGTGGTCACTATTCTGCCTGCTCTTTTTTATGGAGTTTAAAACTTATTGTTGATGCAAAAAGTTTTCTTAGCCATTTTTAGTAAAGTGTACTTCTGTGAAGAAGATTAACTATGTGAGGTACTTTTTAAAATCAGTCACTAGGCTGTGTTTATTTGGGCCAAATAATTTCTAAATAGAGCCTTGCTCTGTTGGCATGAGCTTGTCTGCTCTGAATTTTTTTTTAACTAGCAAATTGTTGTAACTTCACATTTGCTCAACTTCTGAAGGTTTAATGAGATAATCAGTTCTTTGGAAGTAAAAAGATAGAATGGTATAAACATAAGTACAGTTAAATTCTTTGAAAGATTTTGTTTTGTCATTGAAGTCATATTTTCAGGATCAAATTGGAGTTCTAACATCTCTTTCCTCATTGTGCACTCATTTTCTTCCCTGTTCTGATTCCCAAGTCTCTGTTGTTATTTTCCTTCCCATCTCTGTGTTTCTTAAATCTGGTTCTCTTTGTCCATAAGTTACTTATTTTTTATTCTCCCTCCCAATCCAGCAATACCATATATCATGGATTCAGTTCTTTTCTATATGTATGGCTCCCAAATTTATATATGTATCCCTAATTTCTTTCTTGAAATCTAGTCTCATTCACACTTTCTGCCTGTATGCTGGACATACCCTCCTGCAGCACGTACAAAATGGAAACTCATTTCCATGAAAAACCTCCCCTCTTCTAAATGGCCCAGTTGCCAATGATAAAGGTACCATCTTTCTACCAGTTTCTCAATGTCAGGATTGTCCTCGACATTCTCTGTCCCTTAACCTCCGTATCTAATCACTTACCAGATTGTCTTGATTGTGTCTCCACATCCATCCCCTTCACTGTATTCACATAGCTTCTCCCCAAGTTTAGGCCCTTATCACTTTTCACCTGCACTGTTATAATACTTTTCTAATTTGCCTCTTCCTTTCCACCATCCCCCATCTTTATTGAGTTAACATTGCTGCAAGGAAAAAATATAAAATCCTCAGTGTGGCATTTAATACCCTCCATTATTTGTATCGTCCTTAGCTTTCCAGTGTTATTTCATATTACTTTTCTTGAGATGCTCTCCATTCTAGTCACATTGGCCTGCTAGCCTTTTCTAGCTCATTATATTCCATCTTCATCCTCTCATGCTTCTGTACAAGTACCCCTGCGCTCCATCCATTCTCACTTCAGCCTTGTGGGATCCCTAGCTTTGTTGAAAATACAGATTGAGTCTATGAATCAGCCAATTAATTAATAGCAAGTCCTCACTCCTTCTTTAAATGACTTTGTACACTTTGCCTTTTGTTTTTACTAACCTGTAAGTGTGTCACCCTGGTAGAATGTAAGCTGCTTAAGAGCAAATTCTTTTTGTCTTTGTATCTCTGGTTCCTAGCATTAATACCTTGAATATGGTAGGAGCTTAGAAAATGTCTATTGAATTAAATCATAAATTTTAGTATATTTTATAACATGTGAAGTTTATTTTAAAAATATAATGTAGCCTTTTCATTTAAAATTACCTTATATGCCCCCTATTTTAAACCTAAAGTACCTGAGATCCTCATATTTTTAATTTAAGAGATGCTTTATTTGAGGGAAAGGACTGGTTTGAAATCTTTCAGGGCAGGTGCCCAATTAGTACTTGTTCAGGTTGTAGATATTCCATTTTGCCTGTTTTAAAGATGCTCTTGAGGCATTTTTTGATCTCATTGAAGTTAATCACTCTATCCAGTGTTAGTCTAGGTGAGAGATTTTTCCCCTTGGCCAGAGAAGACAAATTGTGCTATTCCATACAAATTGACATAGTAGTAATATAAAAAAGATGGTTACCCTACTGTGTTTTCATTAACTTTTATTCTTTGAATGCTAATAAATGTAAACCTCTTAAATGTTCTTAAATGTAATGTAAAAAGTGATTTAGTTTGACTAGCTTTCAGATGGATAAGAAGTATTATAGAAATTATTTAATATGAAAGTAACTGATTTCTGTTTTAATATTATCTAACTTTTATCAGTGATATGTTTGTAATGTGTGTTAGATAATTTTACACTGAGCTAAGTGATTAAGTAACTGCTTTAATTATCAGAAGTACCCATAGGTGGAAGAATTCCTTTTCAGCTTCCATAGTGAAGAAAATTAGAGTTGACTAAGGACCAAATATGTGAATGAAGCTAAATTAGAACTGATACTTTGTAAGATTCTTAAGAACTGGATATAATTTTGTTTTCCTATTTTGCAGATGTCCTTATTTACATCGGACCACTGGGGACACTGAAAGAAAGTATCATCTCAGATATTACAAGACTGGTACATGTATACATGAAACAGATGCTCGTGGCCATTGTGTGAAGAATGGACTCCATTGTGCCTTTGCTCATGGCCCTCTTGATCTTAGACCACCAGTATATGATATAAGGTGAATTAATCTTTTTTCAACCAAGTGTTGTAACCAAGCTCCTCATTTGTATAACTGTTCTATAGTGGTTTCTACAGTACAGCCAGCTTAGGTACCACCTTTTTTGATGATCATTTGCCTAAACAGTCAAACTTTTGGGCAGTTATTTTATTTTTTATAGGAATATTATGTTTTACTAATTGTGTTGTACTAATACTGCTGGCCTATTAAGTATACAAGGTTATGAGATAACATCCCTAAAAGAAGCTAATAATTCAAAATGCATTCTGACACTTATTTAGAAAATAAAGTCCTTAATAAAACCTCTGGGAGTCAGGTCATATCTGGGATCCCAGGAGTGGTGGGGGGGTGTCCTTGGTTTCCTGCTACTGACATCACTATTCAGGATCCACTAGATAGCAGCTGTCTTTTGTGGATCTTAGGGCTCCAAAGAGTGACATCATAAAATGAATTTAAACATTTTATTTAAAGACTTTTAAAGGAAAAGAGTCTGAAGATTTAATATCTGTAAACTGACTTGTTGCTTGATTTTAGGGAACTTCAGGCACAAGAAGCCTTACAAAATGGCCAGCTTGGCAGTGGCGACAGCATTCCTGATTTACAACCTGGAGTCTTAGCTAGCCAGGCAATGATAGAAAAAATCCTTGGGGAAGATCCCAGGTGGCAAGGTAACATTCTATCATTCAGCCTCCTTACCTCTTGCTACATATGTCCTGGTGTTGGTTTTACTTCATCATAAAGGTGAATTGAAATACACTGTACTATCCCCAAAATAAACTCTTCCTGTGTTTTGGACGTATATGTTTGCACTAATTCAATATTATCTTTTTAGACCATTTTGAGGAGTTTTTAGAATTAAAGGGACATTTTTATACCCTTAATATTGTTAATAATCTTTGTTTTCATCTGTGTGGTACTCCTTCCACTTTACTGCATCCTACATTGTCTCATTTGATCTTCACGACAACCTTATAAAGTAGGTGCTTTTTTTATCCCCATTTTACAGATGAGGAAACAGGCTGAGAGTTAAGTGACTTGCCCACAGGGTCACACAAGTAATGATTGAGTTAGGATTTGAATTCGGGTCTTCCTGAATCCTTTATCTAATTCTACTTTCTTTCTCAACTCCAACACCCTATCTACTATACCATCCAGCTGCCTAACGCATCAAAAATGTTTCAGTTGAATTAACATGAGTTCCTCATATTTAAATAAGCTTGAATACCAAATCCTCCACCAGAAGTCTTTATCATGGTTTGGGAATTACTCTGGATTTTTGAAGACCAATTCTGATAGAATATAAGCTCTGGCAATTACTGTCAAGTTAGAAAGACTTTGAGTACATTCCCTCTTAGCAGATTTAATGTCTTTCATCTGTTGGCTAGCCTTGCTAAATGTGGAGAGGGTTAGGGTTGTCAGGAGTAATTTGGCTGTCAGGTGATGCAGTTTCTTAGCAATGGTAGCTTATGAAGGCAGTCTCCTGAGGTACAGAGGAGTTGTCATCTTCTTTGGTAGAGGTTCTAATACCCATCCTGATGGAATCATGGCATAAGCTAAATACCGTATAATTTAGAAAAACTGAATAAAACCTTACACATTTTCATTTCATTTCACTCCAGTTTTCATTATTTGTCTTATGAAGTAGTGTGCTGTAGCAAAAAGAATGTTGGGTTTGGAATAGGATCTGCATTCTGATTTTGGCTATGCCGTTAATTAGCTGAATTATCTTGGGCAGGTCACTTGACCTCATTGAACCTTGATTTTCTTAGAAAAGGTTTGCATTACTTCTCTACCCTCATCTTTTTATTAGAGCAGTTGTCATTGTACTACTCTTTCTTGTTGTGAGGAGATGGGATAAAAATACTTTGTGGCTGTAAAGCAGTATGTAAATGTTATCTCTTTTTAAAATGATAATTATTTTTAGCAAAACAGATGTTAAAAAAAAACCACCTTAAAACCCTTAAACAAAATAGCACAGAAAATTCATTGAGATTGATTATGCATGAATCCATATGCTTCTCATGTCTTTTTGTCTAGACCTGTGGTTTCATTGGTGTAGTGAAGTACCTGTGAGGATTCTCTCTCCACTGATCAAATCAGTTATTTTGCAACTTACTGTCTTAGGGAATTATTTGTTTTTATTCTCCTTTATTCTTCTCTATATTCTCTCTTATTTACCATTTGTTAAAATTAATGTTATCTTTACCATTTGTTAAAATGAATGTTATCTTTTTAGTTCATTAATGTTGATTGGATTTAACCTTAGTGTCTTTGCTGTTAAGTGCTGTCTTCAGTTATGTAGTTGAAGTCAGTGTGTTTATACTTCTTTTGGTTCTCCTCATTTCTTTTTTCCATGTTTTTTTAAATTCCTACCACTCTTTCTTGTGGCACGATCCCTATTTCATTACATTCTTTTTTTTTTTCCTTTTTCTCTGGACCCATGATTTAATTGATTTGAGGGAACTCTAATGTAAGAAGCCTCCTCCCTACCCCCAGTTGATACAGATAGACATTTCCAGCTCATCTGTAGTATAGACTTGCCTTTGGCCACCAGGAGGTTTACCATCCTGCTCATGGTCTCATACTAGCATGGGTTACAGGCAGGTCTTGAATATATGGAGAGTCCACACTGCCTCTGGTTCTTGCTTCTCCAGTCCATCTGGCCATGTCACTCTCCTTTCAAAAAGTCCATTGGGTCGGTATTATCTCTGAGATGAAAAATATTTAGTATTTCAGGAAAGAATCAAAGAATTTGAGATGTGGAAGGAAACTCAGGTCATTTAGTCCGACCCAAAGGAAAACTATGCCACTGCATTCCTGGCAAGTGGTTGTTTAGCCTCTGTTTTGATTCTTCAAGAAGAAACCTGCTACCTCTCCATGCAGCTCATTCTACTTCTGCACAGCTCTCATTGTCTCTATGTAGCTTCTACTCATTGCTTCTGGTTTGACTCTCTGAGACCAAACAGAACAAATTTAATTTCTCCAGAGGAGATACTTGAAGACAGCTGTCATGAACTTCTTCTAAAAGTACCTAATTCTTTTAACCAGTTCTTACATAACATGGACTCAGTCCCTTTACCATTCTTTTTGTCCTTTTCTGAATGCTCTCTAGCTTGTCAGTATCCTTCTTATACTGTTGCCAAGATCTAAACACACTATGTCACACAAGAGCAGGGTCCGGGGAGGGCATTAACTCTCTCTTTTTGGAAGGTGTGCCCCCTTTAATGCAGCCCAACATGTTTTGTGTTTTTTTGCATGTTTGGGTTGGGGTTTTTGGGGGGGTTTTTTGGCTGCCACATTACATGCTGGCTCATATTGACCGAGCATTCCACTAAAACTCTCAGATCTTTTTTAGAACTGCTGTCTAACCATGACTTCTCCATCTTATAGAGTTAATTTTTTATCATAACCAAGTACAAGATTTTACATATATCCATGTTAATTTCATCTTCGTAGACACAACCCAGTGTTTTATCCTGTTAAGATTCTTTTGGATAGTGCTTGATCCAATGTGTTAGCTATCCCTGCTAGCTTTCTGTCATTTGCAAAGTTGTTGAGTAAACTATCTGTTTCTTTTTCTAAGGCAGTTGATAAAAATGTTAAATAGCACAGGGGCAAGTATAGATCCCTGGAGTATGCTGCACCATAATAGCTACAAATTGACAAATCCAACTAGTTCAAATTTGTCTAATTATATTGTCTAATCTGCACCTTCTCTTTAAGTGTAGTTTTGAAAGCTTTGTTAAAATCTAGGTAAACTATATGCATAGCATTGCTATTTTCTACTAGTTTAGTAATCTTTTTTTTTAAATATAAATTTATTTATTTTTAGTTTTCAGTATTCACTTCCACAAGTTTTTGAGTTCCAAATTTCTCACCCCTTCCCCCACCCCAAGATGGCATGCATTCTGAATACCCCTTCCCCTGGTCTGCCTTCTCTTCTATCTCTCCCCCCTCCCTTCTCTTATCCCCTTCCCCTTCTAGAGCAGGATAGACTTCTGTACCCCATTTCCTGTATTTCTTATTTCCCAGTTGCATGTGAAAACATTTTTTTAAAAACATGTGTTTTTAAAACTTTGAGTTCCAAATTTTCTCCCTTCCTCCCTCCCCACCCACCCTCATTGAAAAGGCAAGTGACTCAATATAGGTTGTACATGTGCAGTTATGCAAAACACTTCCTTAGTAGACATGTTGTGAAAAACTAACTCTATTTCCCTTAATCCTATCCTGCCCTCCCACTTATTCTGTTCTTTCTTTTGACCCTGTCCCTCCTCAGAAGTATTTACTTCTGATTACCCTCTTTCCCATTCTGCCTTCCTCTCTATCACCCCCCTGCTCTCTTGTCCCCTTCTCCCCCTATTTTCCTGTAGGGTAAGACAGATTTCCATACCCAATTGAATGTGTATGTTATTCTCTCCTTAAGCCAAATCCTATGAGAATAAGATTCCCTCATTCCCTCTCACCTTCCCCTGTTTCCCCTCCACTGTGAGAGACTTTTCTGTTTTTTTTTGAGATAATTTACCGCATTCTACCTCTCCCTTTCTTCTCCGAGTATCATCCTCGATCTCATCCCTTAATTTTATTCTCCAGATATGACCCCTTCATTTTCAATTCACCCTGTGCCCTCTATCTATATATACATCTAGTTTAGTAATCTTATAAAAAATGTAAGTGAAGTTAAAGTGGCTTGACCTATTCTTCAGTTAATCCATACTGGTTCTTTGTAAATCATTTCTCTTCTAGATCTAGTTCACTAACCATCTCTTTAATATCCAATCTAGAATTTTCCCAGGAATTGTCTGGGAAGTAGTCTGGGAAGTCAGACTCACTAGCCTATAATTTTTAGGCTATTCTATACCCTTAAAAAATGGTACAGCAGGGACAGCTAGGTGGCGCAGTGGATAGAGCACCGGCCCTGATGTCAGGAGGATCTGAGTTCAAATCCGGTCTCAGACTAAACACTTGACACTTACTAGCTGTGTGACCTTGGGCAAGTCACTTAACCCCAATTGCCTAAAAAGCAAAAAAAAAAAAAGGTACAACATTTGATCTTCTCCCACATCTTGCGGTACTTAATAATTCTATTTTCCACGTTCTTTTGGTACCCAAGGATGTGGTTCATCTGGGCCAGGTGACTTATACTCTCTTACTATCTCCTGATATTCAGTGTCAACCCCCTATTAGCCATTTTTGTTTTTTCATTTCCAAGATAAAAGTCATTATCTTTGGCAGGGAATACAGAAACAAAATTAGAACTGAACTGCTCAGCCAGTTGTAATTATCCCCATAACCTCAAGCAAAGATTCTGCCCCTTCTTTTTCCCCCAGTAGAGCTAAAAATCTTTTTTTGTTCTTAGGTTCCATCTTCAACCCAAGTTAGTTTTAAGTTTTAGCATTTCTGACACTATTTTTATGACATTGCCATGCTTTTATATTAGTTCTCTATTACCTGAGCTTGCTTGTTTCAGTTTTTTCAACATTTCTTTTAAAAGTCCAGTCTGTCTGATGAGTTCCCTCTGTAGATGTCAATACCAATCTCTTCAGACAGATACTTTTTTTCCTTCTCACTGGTATTTCTCTCTGTGTGTCTTCAGAATTTTATTCTTGAACATCTCTTCTCCCTTCTGGGCTGACTTCCTCTGAAGCATTTTAGCCCATGGGATCCCACCTCTCTCTTTCCTCTGAACTCTTTGAAACCTGCTTTCTCAAATATGCCTAAACTTTCTCTCCTCTATCACAAACTCTAGGAGGGAGTAGTTAGTTCCCTTTAGGGTTACCAATTATTTCCTCTCCAGCATCACTTCTTTCCTGTTAGTGAGAGTAAAATCCAGCATAGAATTTCCCCTTGCCGGTTTGTAGCTTTAAGGTTTCTTGTAGACAATTCCTGTCTCGCATTTAAGCAATATTTATTAAATCTGTACATTTCACAGTATCTCAGGTTTAGCAATCACAAAAATATTTGTTAAATGAATGTTTTGTTTTTTAGATTTTTTCGCTTTTAAGTCTTTTTTAGTCACAGAGCCATTCTTCTCCATGCCCTGTTATGTGGTTACTGGACATGTTTTTCTTAATAAAATTGAATTTGTCCTTGGTAGAGAATTTTATGTACTTGAATTTCAACTAAGAAGACATTTAAAGTGCTTGAAAGTAGTCATTGCTTTATTTCCCACTGAGGTTTATTATGTACTACTCACAGCTGCAAATCATGACAGGTTACCTTCTTTTCCTTTTTCCCAATATCCTTCTTCTATGAAAAAGCTATCCAGCCTCATCAAACATATTATGGCATCTTTTAAAAAAATTCAACAATATTTATAAAACATTGGATATTCCTTCAATCCTGAGACAGTGGTACCTTTTTGTTTTGGCTAGGCAGTGGGGTTAAGTGACTTGCCCAGGGTCACACAGCTAGTAAGTGTTATATGTCTGAGGTCAGATTTGAACTCAGGTCCGCTTGGCTCCAGGGCCAGTGCTCCATTCACTGTGCCACCTAGCTGCCCCCCGACAGTGGTACTTTCTTTTTTTAAAAAAATATATAAATTTATTTATTTTTCGTTTTCAACATTCACTTCTACAAGTTTTTGAGTTCCAAATTTTCACCTCATCTCCCCTCTCCCCCCACCCCAAGATGTCATGCATTCTGAATATCCCTTCCCCTACTCTGTCCTCTCTTCTGTCTCTCTCCCCTTCTCTTATCCCCTTCCCCTTCTATTTTCCTGTAGGGCAGGATAGACTTCTGTACCCCATTTCCTATATTTATTTCCCAGTAGCATGTGAAAACATTTTTTTAAACATATATTTTTAAAACTTTAGGTTTCAAATTTTCTCTCTTCCTCCCTCCCCACCCACCCTCATTGAAAAGGCAAGCAACTCAATATAAGTTGTACATGTGCAGTTATGCAAAACACGTTCATAGTAGACATGTTGTGAAAAACTGTTTCCCTTAATCCTATCCTGCCCTCCCATTTATTCTGTTCTTTCTTTTGACCCTGTCCCTCCTCAGAAGTATTTACTTCTGATTACCCCCTTTCCCAATCTGCCCTCCTCTCTATCATCCCCTGCTCTCTTGTCCCCTTCTCCCCCTATTTTCCTGTAGGGTAAGACAGATTTCCATACCCAATTGAATGTGTATGTTATTCCTTTGTTAAGCCAAATCCTATGAGAATAAGATTCACTCATTCCCTCTCACCTTCCCCCGTTTCCCTTCCACTGTAAGAGACTTTTCTTTTCTGTTTTTTTTGTGAGATAATTTACCCCATTCTACCTCTCCCTTTCTTCTTCTCCGAGTATAATCCTCTCTTATACCTTAATTTTATTCTCCAGATATGACCCCTTAATCTTCAGCTCACCCTATGCCCTCTGATACTGACAAAGGTCTCATGAGTTATAAATATCATCTTTCCATGCAGGAATGTAAACAGTTCAATCTTAGTAAGTCTCTTATGATTTCTCTTTCCTGTTTACCTCTTCATGTTCCACTTGAGTCCTGTATTTGAAAGTCAAATTTTCTATTCAGCTCTGGTCTTTTCATCAAGAATGCTTGAAAGTCCTCTATTTCACTGAATGACCATTTTTTCCCCTGAAGAATTATACTCAGTTTTGCTGGGTAGGTGATTCTTGGTTGTAATCCTATCTCCTTTGCCCTCCGGAATATTATGTTCCATGCCCCGCAGTCCTTTAACGTAGAAGCTGCTAAATCTTGTGTTATCCTGATTGTGTTCCCACAGTACTTGAACTATTTCCTTCTGGCAGCTTGTAATATTTTCTCCTTGACCTGGGAACTCTGGAATTTGGTACTTTCTAATTAGGTAGTAGAATGGAAGCTTCGTGATCATAGGGTTTGCCTTTTTCTATTTGTATCCATAGTCCTGGGCGAATAAGATTGTAGATTTAGAACTGGAGGGGACTTTAGCGGCCAGCTAATCCAATCCCCTTATTTTAGAGGTGAGAAAATTGGAGCCCAGAGGGGTTAAGTAATTTGTTCAAGGTCATATAGTAGTAGTAAGTGACAGGAGCTTTATAAATGCATTTGAATTTGATTAAGTGAATATTAATTAATTGGTTGCTGTTTGCAAATGAAGCATTTATTTTTTTCAGATACCAATTTTGTCTTAGGTGGCTACAAGACTGAACAGTGTCCAAAGCCACCTCGTCTCTGTCGTCAGGGCTACGCTTGTCCGCATTATCACAATAGTAGAGATCGAAGACGAAATCCCAGGAAATTTAAGTACAGGTGAGCTATTTTATACAGTAGTATAACAAAATAACTTGGCATTTATCGGTATCCTTTCCTTCTAAAGAGCTTGGAGCAAATTCAAATAAATTCATTTTTCTTCAGAGATATTTTTATACACAGTTCTTGCTTTATGTAAATTCTCATCATGCAAATTCAACTGTATTTAAAGAATTCTGAAAGAAATATGCATTCCAAAAAACCTATGTTAACTATAGTGCACGTTAATATGCTCTCTCTCTCTGTTCTTGCCCCTTGGCTCAGCACTCTGTGACCTCTCAGGGTGGTGCTCCCCCCCAAAAAAAACCCAAAACCAAACCAAAACAAAACCTCAACTCTCCAAGTGAAAGTAGAAGAGTAGATGGTAGGAGAGACCCTGCCAACATTGGATAGGGGGGCTTTGCTTGAGACCTGCAATGCATAGAAAGGAGAACTTTGCCCTGCTCTGCCAGCCCATCTGTGTGTCTGACCCCAAAGTGTTTGTGTTCCATCTGTCTGTTCTCCAGTACTGTGTGTCTGGCCCTGACACCATGTACCACACTGTACATCACTCATCTTTTCCTGCCTGCATCTGTGTCCAGCCCCCACATTTCTGCTCCCCACATGTTCTTCCTCTTGGTTCTGGCCAGGCCCCCATGTGGCTGGCCTTGGCCCCTTCATGTTCCTCCTCCTGCTCTTGCTTCTCTGTCCCCAGTTTCCATGTGTCCTTGAACTGTGTGCCAGCCCCCTTCCTCTATGAGCATGGGGCTCCCTTCTTTCCTCCCTTTCTCCCTTCCCCATGTCTGCTGGCAAATTTGCATTATGTAAAAGTCATTTTAAGTAGAAATCTGTGGAACAGTCCACTTACATAAAGCGAGAACTGTCTGTATTATAAGAAAGTCTATAGCAGCATGTATTTGTTTTTAATTAGCTGTGCCCATCTTCTGTGTCTCTATGCTTCAACTTATGTAATTTCCTTCTAGGATTATCTTATTGCTCTCCTTAATAATTTTATAAATTGTCCTTTCATACCTGGTATGTTGTTTTGCTCATAGTTGACCCTCAAGAAATATTTGTTGATAGTTTTAATATATATATTTTTTAGGCATTTGGGGTTAAGTGACTTACCCAGGGTCACATAGCTACTAAGTGTCAAGTGTTTGGTCTAAGGTCAGATTTGAACTCAGGTCCTCCTGACTACAGGGCTGGTACTCTAGCTACCCCCAGTATTTCTTTTTAAACATTCTTTATTGTAACTTGACTCATAGTTCCTTAATTTTTCATGTCATGGTCATAGAACCACTGGATCTGTGATTTCCTTGGTTTAAGAGGAAGCCTTATGAAGAAACTCGCTGGACATCTGCTTTACAACTTGTGGTCTTAGAGAATTGCTTGGGGCCCTGAGACATTAAGTGACTCACTCAAAGTCATACATCCAGTATGTGCCAAAGGCAGGGTTCTTCCTGATTCCAAGGTTATGATAGAATTTAAACTGGTCTCCCTGTCTCTAGTTCCATTTTTTTCCAATCCCTCCTTCACATTTCTGTGAAAATAATTTTCTTAATTCATATTATTTACTTGTCCTGATTGCAAAGGACTTTCACTGCTAAACCAAGAATTTTTCATTTTCTTCTGGAGGCAGTAGAGAGTGACATGCTAAGACCTAGTCTTAAGGAATATTAGTGTGGCAGCTGTGTAAAGAATGGATTGGAGAGGAGAGAGATTGGATAGCAGGGAAACCAATTAGGAGGCTGTTATAACAGTCTAGGTGAGAGAGTTCGAAAGATCTGCATCATCTAGTACAGTGGGAGGATATGCATGTGTCCCGAATGAAGAATATTCAAATAATTTAAGAATTTGATTCATGGAGAAAAACATCCTCAAAGCCCAATTTCTCTTCCACTATAATTTGCAATAAATCCACCAAATGAATAATAATAAAAGATCATGCTGGATTCCTTGGATGGACAGAGTTTCTTATCTTGATTTATGAGTTTAGTTTTCCCTACAGTGCAACAAATTTTGGTAATGAGGAATCTTTTTCTTCTCTCTTTTTTTTCCTACTTGCCTAACTGGTCAGGCTGGAGAACATGGGGGGAAAAATCTGTTAAATTCTGACTCTGGTCATAAACAGCTCATTTTAGAAGTTTCTTGCTCCCTTATCTTTTTTTTTTTCTGACTCCATTTTTAGCAGTGATTAATTCTCTTTTTCACTGACATGTACTGACAGACAAGAAAATTAAACTTAGAGTTATGTGTTGATATACTCATAGAATCAAAGGGAAGAAAAATTAGAATGTTATGAGCTGACTTTATCAAGTTCATACCTTAGCTTATAATTTCCTTTGCTTCTTTTTCCATTCTCCAGAAGTTAAATGATGGGGAAAGGTTTGGGTGACAGGTAGCTCTGATCTTGGAATTAATTTATTACTCTGTTTTATTTTATTAAATTTTCACCACAAACTTGATGGTTGTCTGTTCTGTCACTGAAATGGTGGCATTGTAGAAAGAGCACAGTAGTTGAAGTCAGGAAGACCTGAGATCAAATCTTTCTACAGATACTCACTAGCTATGTGATCCTGGGCAAGTCACTTAACCTCTCTGTGCATCAGTGTGTAATCTGTAAAATGGGGATAATAATAGTACCTACTTCACAGAGTTGTTTTGAAGATCAAATGAAACAACATTATGTAAAGCACTTTGCAAACCTTAAAATGCTATATAAATGCTGTTGTTGTGGGGCAGCTAGGTGGTGCAGTGGATAGAGCACTAGCTTTGGATTCAGGAGGACCTGAGTTCAAATGCAGCCTCAGACACATAACATTTGCTAGTTGTGTGACCTTGGGCAAGTCACTTAACCCCATTGCCTAGACAAAAAACAAAAACAATAAATGCTGTTGGTGTTAAGCAGCATCTTCATTATCCTCTCCCTCTGCCCGTAGTACACACTCTTGTTTTTCCCAGACTCGAAGTCTGAGTATGGTAATTTTTTTTCTTCTCAGCTTTTGCTAAAACTGCTTGCATATTTTCTTAGCAAGTTGAGTGAGAGCTCCCAGTTCATTAGAAGAGCAGGTGTAGGGCTTGGGTGGGGAAAGTACCACAGTTCCATAATGAAGTGGTTAGTAACAATTTAAATGAATTATAGGGGTCAGTGCTGTCCTGCCCAGGCATGATCAGTGCTTTTTTTCTCTTTCTTAACTTCTTTTTCTATCCATTACTGGATAGCCTTAGGAGTTGAAGGGCACTCATAATTCCGCCGCACTGTTGCATTCTCTAGACTGTGCCCCCATGCCTTCAGTAGCAGGCCAGATTGGCATTCTTTCCTCTAATTTATTTCTGTTCTTTCTTTGCAAGCCTTTAAATAGTGTCACAGTAGATAGACAGAAAGTTCCACTTGTAATACTAGTTGTCTTGGTCTTGGGTTGAATGTATTTCCTGTCATCTGGATTTCTCTTTTGCTGCCTTTTCATATTCTGCCTTACATATATCATATTGTACTTATATGTGTACATGTTATGTGCCCTCTTAGTGGATTGGGAGTTCCTTGAAAGAGCAATCATTTTTTCATCTTTGTGTCCCAGCAACTAATAATATCTTTATAAGTATATGTTTAATACATGTTTGTTGAGTTATTAAGGGATCTGTCTAAAATCATATTGACAGTGGAGAAGCAATAATTAAAAGTCTCCTCATTTTACATATGATAATTATTTTCTGGATGCTTTGCTCATATCTTTAAGTGACTTCCTAACTATCTCTCAAGTAGTCCCTTTTAATTGGGCATATGTTGGCACGTTAATTTTATTCAGAGAAATTTGAATGGTACATTTAGCTGACTATAATTTGATACCCTGGCAACTTAGTAACACTTACTAGAAATTTATATTTAGAAAGGATCCAGCCACCTTCAAAAGACTATATTTTCTTCCTGCTATGGAAAAATTCCTTTCCTATTCTTCCATGAACCCTCTAAAGATTTAGTTCAGTATCAATTTAGTTCAATAGTTGGTTTTCCGTTATGACAGTTTTCCTTAAAGGTTCATACATTACAAATAGGGGCAACAAACATGTTGTACCAAGAAAATTATTGGAGGAGTAAGCTTAACACTTAATTTTCAGTAGTGGGAGAGATCAAGAGATCATATGTTAGTGACAATATCCAGTGCCTCCGAATTTTAATCCACATTGAACAGCCCCTAGAGGAGTACTACTGTTATTTAGGCATGGTTAGAGAAATTAAATGGCAACTTTTAAATAGATGTAATGTTCAGAAAAACCTGGAAAGACTCATATGAACTGATCATGAGTGAAATGAGCAGAACCAGGAGAACATTGTACACAATAACAGCCACATTGTGTGATGACTGACTTTGATAGACTTGGCTTTTCACAGCAATGCAAGAATCTAAGACACCTCCAAAAGGCTCACACGATAGAAAATGCTATCCACATCTAGAGGAAGAACTTAGGAGTCTGAATGTAAATGGAAGCATACTATTTGCTCGCCTTTGCTTTTGTTGTTTTGTTTTGTTTTGTTTCTTCTTTCTTGTGGTTCCTCTTTACATCATGACTAGTGTGAAAATATGTTTAATATGAAATGTGGAATTAGAGCCTATATCAGATTGTAGGCCGTCTTGGGGAGGGGGGAGAAAAGGGAGGGAAAGAAAATTTAAAACTCAATCTTCTGGAAGTGAATGTTGAAAACTAAAAATAAATTAATTTTTTAAAAAAATAAATGAATAGATGTAATGATCATGTAATTTTTACTATATTTAAGGCTACATATAAGAACTGAATTAGTTCAGATTTCCTTTCTTTTTAAAATAATAAGTTTTCATTGATATCTTTTGTTTTTATATTGCCTAAATTTTCCCCTATATCTCTTCCCTTCTCTCCTCCCCAAAAGCTTTCCCTTGTGAGACAAATATTTTTAAAAAATAAAAAGGAAAAAAGAGGAAACTAAAGAAGAAAAAAATAAAACTGATCAATATGTTTGGGAAAACCTGATATAATATGCAATG